AAGAAAACCTGCAACAGTGGCAGCTCGAACAGCAAAATAAACAAGAGAGATTACAGCATTTGTTGCAGAGGAAAAGAAAAGAAACAAGAAGAGAGATTACAGCAGTGGCAAGAAAACCTGCAACAGTGGCAGCTCGAACAGCAAAATAAACAAGAGAGATTACAGCATTTGTTGAAGGAAAAAGAAAAGAAACAAGAAGAGAGATTACAACACCTGTTGGAGGAAAAAAAAGAAACAAGAAGAACGAAAAAATAAATAAGAGAGACTACAGCAGTGGCAACTAGAACAAGAAACGAAACAAGAAGTACAAATGGAAAAGCTTATTAAATTTCAAAGTGAATTAAATACCTTAAACGATGATTTACTATCTTTTACACAAGGAGGATATATTAGCCATGGACCTAATCAGCCTCAGACAATAGGAAGCCCCTTCCAGACCCCGCAGCTAAACCCCAATGCAAACATCTTCAGTCCTGTCAGAAGTCACATCCCAGACATGAGTGTCAGCAATAGGGGTGATCTAGTATGAAGGAAGCCACAGGAATTCGATGGGAAGCATATAGAGCACAATTTGAGCTCCTGGCAGAAATGAATGGATGGACAGAGGAGCAGAAGGCAGTGTACCTGACAACGAGCTTGAAGGGACAACCACTGGAAATACTTGGACAGTTGTCACCAGATGACAGACACAACTAGAACTCAGATATGGAACCCAAAATCAGTCCAAAGTCTACTTGGTTGACATTGAAGACCAATGCATATTAGGATTGGACTATTTACTACTGAGGAAGTGTGTAGTTAACTTTGATAAAATGATGATTGGGAACAACAAAGGCCAAATTCCAGTAAGTGTTGCTGCATATGTTGATTTGCATGTCACAGCACTTAAGTCAACTACAATACCCCCTATGTCAGAGAAGATAATTTGGGGTAGAATAAAAGAACATCCCAAGGAAGCCCAATGCTTGTGGAAGCAGTGGAAGACCCATCCAGGCCAGCAGATGAGAAGATTGGAAGGTCACTTGTGGCAGGTCATCAAGTAGTACCCATAACAATGGCCAATTTCTCTAAATGTGAACAGACACTTAAGAAAGGGTCATTGTTCGGTGTGTGCCAGGAGGTAGAACCAGTCAATGTTAGGGCAAGAAATACAACCATAATGAAAGGACATCCACTCCCAGAACATTTAACTGACCTCTATAAGAAGAGCATAGTCCATATGTCATCATCACAGGCTCTTCAGGTTAAGAGAACTCTTGGCGAATTATGCAGACATCTTTTCAAAAGGAGATCATGACCTCGGCTGCATAGACCTTTTGGGGCACAGAATAAACATAGGGCAATCACTGTCCAATAAAGATCCCTCTGAGTAGAATAGCTCTGGCAAAGTGACAAGAGATGGAGAAGGTCATGGATGGCCTAATGAACAAAGGGATAGTCAAGAAATCAGATAGTCCCTGGTCAGCTTCCGTGTTAGTCCAGAAAAAAAATAGGACCCAATGTTGCTGTGTGGACTTCAGAGCTCTTAACAATATAACTGAATAGGGCTCATACCCGCTGCCAAGAATTGATGATACTCTTGATGCCCTAAGTGGAGCAAGGTGGTTTTCAACTCTAGACTTAAAGTCGGGTTTCCATCAAGTGAAAATGGTTGAAGCAGATAAACCTAAGACTGCACTTAGTTATGGCCAGGGTCTCTGGCAATATTGTGTGATGCCATTTGGGCTTAGCAATGCTCCAGCAACATTTGAGAGGCTGACGGAAAGAGTACTGGAAGACCTACAATGGAGAATAGCCCTAGTGTACCTGGATGATGTCATTGTGTTTGCAACAGCGTTTTATGAGGAAATGTCCC